CAAAAGGCACGAAACCCGCAGGCTGGGGCTTGCGCATCCAGCCCTGCTCGCAGCCGCTCCCCCGGCAGAGCCGCAGTCACTGCCCGCTGCCCAGGCTGATACATGGAAGAAAGATCAACTTCAGCGATTAACGGCACCGAGTTGGGATGTTTGTTTTTTGCTGTCATTAGAGGTGAAAAAGGTGTTTATCAGCTGCATGCTATAATATTAGTTACAGCACTTGTGCCTGTCCTGTGATAGCACACAGATAGAAAGTATCTTTCTACACTTTACTGCTGTCAAAAGACTGGAAAAAGAAAAACAAAGAGCCCAAGCCCTGCAGCACCTATCAGGCACCTGCAGTAACAAACCCCAACCTCTGTGGCGTTATTTGACCTGTCCCTGGGGATCCCAGCTCTGCAGCCCAGCTGGCAGTAGCAGTGGAGCGATACACGGCTCCCTGGGCTTTCCCCAGAGTCTAAGGGCTGTCAGTTTCCCTGTGCCCCAGCTGAAGACTAACCAGGGAAGACCTGAGCATCTAACTGAAAATGGACAGATACACAACAGCCAGTATCATCTCTTTCACCAACTGGTAAACAGAGGCATAAGAGACAGGGTTCAATTTCCTCAAGAGACACCCTGGATTGGAGAAGTTTCAAATTTGTGAATAATTTTTTACTAATCCTTTCACAGATGCCAAGCACCTGCAGTTCCCACAAGACAGTGCTTAATTCCTCTTGGAAACCAGGGTCCACCCAGAAGCTCCAACAAAACAGAGACTAATATAATTTGGGGCATTTTGGCTTGAGGAAGTCAGAACTGGGCCAAAATGTACCATTTTTCACCTCTAGGTCAATGCCCCATTCATTGCATGCTGATGCATGTTTAACCTGAGAGGACTTTGAACAGGATGAACCGGATAGGGCCCAGCAAAACAAACCCACATCATACAGTGCATTCAAAAAATATTTAATAAGTCTTTAAAAGGCAAGGCAAGCAGCCTACCACAGCCAGGTAAATATATTGAGAAAGTTTTTATTAGAAGGTATATTTCTGCCAAAATAAATAGTTACATTTTCTTCAGCAAAACATTAGAAAAAAGAAACAGGGGAAAAAAGCATCAATTTAATACTGAACTTTTAAAGTGACTGTGAACACTACTTAGTGACATTGCTGTATAAATACATGACTTGCGTATGCTATTGCTGGTCTAGTTGCTGCTCTGACATCAGTAATTTTCACAGGATTTCCACAGGATCTCCAAATGCGCTGTGTGGTTAAGGGTCTTCTCAAACTCAGTGACAGCAGCAGAGTCCCAGGACACATTTAACTCAAAGAGCTGCTTTAGATGCTGTTTTCAGGAGCACAAGAAAACCCCAGAGGAAAAAAAATTTTATTTCAAAGTTACATTTTTAAGTCTTCTGTTTGGAACTAGAGGTTTCCCCTCCCTGTGCAGGAAGGCCGATGTGGATCCATCCAGTGAGATGGATGCAGTTAGAGACTGTCCTAGTGGAGCTGCCTGCAGATTGGAAACAGAGCCATGTCCCACCAGTAGGCAAGGGGAAGGAGGGAGAGGAGAGGGGAACAAGTACTGCTGCATTCAGAAAGGCAGCCGCCACAGGGACACAGAGGGCAGGCAGGCCAGAGCCCACTGTAAAGGCACAGGGCGTGTTTGGCACAAACGAACTGACTAATGTGGCAGCCAGGAGAGGTGGTCCATTCTCTCATTGATTTAAGAGGAAGAAGGAAACAAAGCTTGAATAAACTGTCGGCAAGGCCCTCTGACTTTGGCAATGCTCAGCCCTGCCACCCACCACATCTAGCATGTGTCTAGCAGAAATGAACCCCTAAGGGAAACACATACACGGAGTTTCAGCTATTTCTCCCACAACCTCTTTGGAGGGAGAGAGCGAGCAAGCTCTTCTCTCAGAGGAAGGAGTGAATTACTAGATTAATTTTTTTAAAATGGACAAAAACACTGGGAAATATACAATAAGTACTAGGGACACCCCAGTACTGGCAGACAGCAGATCCTCTTATTCTCTGGTCTGAGTGTTGCAGATACACAGCCCTCCAAGAAGTCATGAGAAAACAATTCCTAGGTCCTGCAGACAGTAGTCAGAAGTAAAGTATTTTCTCTTACCCCTCAAAAATCAGCTTGCAACAGTATTAACAGTAGGGCAGGCAGCAAACCAAACCCAACATACCACACGCATCGTGACTTAGAGAGCATGCCATAGATACAGACTGTTGTGCACAACATAAAACAACTCTACAGTGTTGTACAGGTTAGGGTTAGACGCAGAAGTAGTTCACCTTAGCCTTGTTAAAAGCAGCAAGTAGTATCTGTGTCACAGGAAGGAGAAAAAAAAAGTGGATTCCTGAATGCACAGACCCTTTATGTGAAACAGTGGAAACAGCAAGGGTTGGGACTCGTTGCAGAGTTCAAGTGAATGCTATAAGGACAATTGGACATGGACTGCAAGATGAACTTTTTGTCCAGGAACCTGACCTCTCAACCACCATATACTGGAAAGCAGACAGGCCCTGGCAACTACCCACTGGCCTGCCCAACCACACATTCTGCTGAAGAAGGGACTGACTACTACAGACAATTACCTTGTTCCTATGAACTTGACAAGTGTAGGTTAAGCAGCAGCTGCTGCCTGGAAGATAACGCATGCCATGAAGTACACATAGAACAAAGGCTTGAAGAATTCCAGTTAGCACTATCACAGTAAACCCCTCCAGGTCCAACCCCAAGCCTATCAAGAGGTTTCCAGGGATTTCAAAGAAGTGGAGTCTGATCTAGACAAGGCAGCACTGCATAACAAAAAGCTGTTCTTCAAAAATAGCCACAGCCCTTTTTCTGCATCAGCGGGCTAGAAGATCTTCCCTACTTTCTTCATCCTTTGCAATCTGTGGTGAATGAACAGCAAGAATTTCAAGCAAATGCATGAAACTTCTCTTAAGGAAGAGGAGGGTAGTTTGGGGTATTTTTGACAGATCTGCAGTTCTTTTATCAGAGCCTAAATCTATAAAGCCAACAAGCTAAACACACAACAGCCACTGCATCACTTGGGGAATAAACACAGGCAAAGAAAGTGTTAATACAGAGTGGTGCTTTCCCAGTATCTGTTCACACCCGGCAAATTAGCATAGGGAAAACAGGAGTTTCCTCCCCAAAGAGTTAGACGTTTATATTTAAAGCCAGGCTTTGGTTTGTGGTTACAGTTTGAAGTGTACAAAAGCATCTCTTTGAGAGGTTAATATAATAAAATAAACAAAGATGAGGTGAAACACAGAATGAAACTCAGGCCTTTTACCAGGCACAGCGGTTTGTCGGTTGAAATGCATGGACCAGAACCAGCAAGCCTTCTGGATCAGAGCACTGGAAGACAATGGCACCAGCCCAGTTGGTTTTGATGCAAGAAGAGAACAGAGGAGATCCAGGGGATAAGGGTGCCAAGCTGCAATTTCTTAGTGCACTCTGTTGCCAAGAGAATTTTGTTTCATAGTTTAGTGGTTTACATAATCACTCAGTGGTTTTACCAGTCCAGGAAGAAGGGATTAAAAAAATAAAAAAATAGTTGCATCATTTTCTCCACCTGTGTATTAACACAAACAAGGCAGAGTCAAAAGGGCAGCAGCTTCTAAGCACAAGATTTTCCTCATCCAGCTTTGCCCCTCACAAATGTTTTGCTTCTGGACAAAATGCCCTCATTTCTTGCCACTAAATATCTATATGTTCTTGCCAATTGCTATGTGTGCATTAGGGACAAGAGATATTAATCTCGCAAACTAAGCAACTGTGCATGTGCCATTCCCCTAAAGAAGGCAGCCCAAAGCAGTGGAAGAAAAGAAATCCCACAGCAAACCATAAAATAAACACCTTTTCTCAATTCCAATTTTCATCAAATTCATTCTGCTCTCACTAACTGACAGTAGCTTGTTGCTGGTTCACTTTGATTAGAGTTACATCCATCTAGCAGTAAGCTTTTTCCACAGGCTTTAGACAATCACAAGATTGACTTGTTTTATAATCCAATATTCCGATTCTGGTTTCAGAATCCTCCAGTTTTTTCTCTTCCCGTAGCAACTTCCCTGTTCCCTAATTGCGTTAACTATGTGAACCTTAAGACTAAATCTGACTGCATAAGTGCAGGCCTGCTTCATAAGCTATGCAGGCCCTTGTGTTACATAGGTAGGTTACATCCAGGAAGGGCAGTGGGGTGATACTCTAAGTCACAAGTTCATATTTGCACTGGCGTCTCCTGGACAGTTGGTTAGCACCACAGCTGCCCAATCTATTGCCTCACAGCTTGCAATGGCCACTGCAGAAAAGTCCTGATGCTTATCACAGTCTCCACCACAAACACTTAAACCCATGCCCAGTGCACAATTGTGCTGGTAGGAAACAGCACCCACCACCTCACCCACACTGTTTGTGCAGATACGATCGAGCAGATTCACTACTTTCTTCAGCTATTAGTAGAACTTCTGGGGTTATTTTCCCTTTCTAAATCACAGGTGCAAAAGAGACTCTATTATAAATCACTATACCACCTATAGGCTATGTAATCAGCTTCAGATACCCTGTCTTGCTCCCCAGCAAAGACAGCGTATGTTTGCTTTGGCCAGTTGCATACTGTTTGTGCTAGGAGAGGTAGAAGACACCTCATGCAGCTAGGCACACTGCAGAAAAAGATACCAGGAGCTGGTTTTATGTCATAGTGCAAGGACTTAAGCTTAAGTACATGCAATCCCCACAGGAAGCCATGTCTTACCCTGTGAAGAACAGAGTTCATGCTTCTGCACAGCAAGTCACAACCAGACCACCACTGAGAAGGCAGTACCTTACAAGGCAGAGTCCTGCCCTGCTACAAGACCCACTAGCTCTGGTCTTTTAAGGGACAAGACAAACATAACCAGTTCCAAGCAGGCTGCATGTGCACCAACACTCCTAACTTCACTTCCACTTATCCTCCTGCTATTGCCAGCTGCAGAGCTGTACCTGTGAGCCACAACATGAGACAGGCAAGCTGTGAGGCTGGTATAGCTACAAGCCTACACCCTTCTCACTCCAAAGCCTCAATGTCCAAACTCTTCAAGCAAAAGATAGAGCCAAGCCCCAGTTTGGCAGGAGATCCCTTCTGTATCACCCACCTGGAATTTCCTTCAGTTGTATGGTCCCTTAAGGGGCAAAGTCTGACCCCTAGTCAGAGGCAGCCACTTCCCCAGCACTTGCTGTGACACTCCACCACAAGCCTCTGAAAAACAACATCCCCTGCACAATCTCACCTTCCTACAAGCACTTCACATTGCTTCAGCTGCTAAGCTGATCCAGAGACAGTCAGGCTGAGCTTTTCCAGGGCAACCCCACACTAATTCCATTCACAGTGACAGGAATGGGGCCTCAAATTCAACATGTTTCCCTGGAAAAAAAAAAAATCTGTCCAAATTACTTCTTTAAAATAAGCTCAATGACTTACTTAACACTCAGAGTTCAAGCTGCAGAAGTTCCATGAGGACAAAAATAAAAAAGGGAGAGACCATGACAACATGAATCAGGGTAAATACGTAACTTTTTCACATTTCTGCAGTCCCAGTGCAGTCTGCAGCAGTGCCAGCTCTGGCTTCCAGTGGGGATGCAGTTAAGGGACAGAGGAAAGAACATGGCTTCAGCAAACAAGAAAGTCAAGACGAGATTTGAAAGCCATGAGAAAAATTGGTTTAGCAAGAGGCTACTTCATCTTTCAGTAGCACAAAGAGCTAGGGGATGTCAGATGATTTAAGAAAAAACAAGACTTATGCTCTAAAAATCAAAGGAAGCTAAAAGCTGTATGAACTTGAGAGCATCATCTACGTCCTGATTATTTAGCGGTAAAAAGCCAATGGCAATTCAAAGTGCATTATTTGGGAGAGCACAGCTGGGTCAGCATCAGCCTGGCCACAGGCAATGGCCAGGCCTCAACACAAGTCCAGAGCAAGGTATCAGCCCACGTGTGCCTTTGAACACAGAGATCCCTTGCCTGACCCAGTGGGCAACAAATGGCTACAGTCAGTTCCACCAGTCTCCATCCCGGGGAAATCCCCTTTGCAGCATATTCACGAGCACAGGGCAGCCCTGCTCCTGAGGGATGAGACCAGTCCCACCCTACATCTGCTCCCCTTCCCACCCACCCTCACCCTCTCAGAGCAGCAGGCTCAGAAGAGTGGCAGGCACTCTTTCGCACAGTCTAGAGGTGGAAGCTTTATCTGAAACCCTTCCCGAGGGAAGAGGGAGGCCTGCATGTCCACATTGATGCAAAGTAAGCCCAGCATGAGCTGGCGCTGGTACTCCTCCCACTTCATCATGACATCAGACAGGGAACGGTTGCTTCTCATCCACATAGGCAGTGCTTCACCACAAGCCGGTGCGGAAGAAATTGGCAGGCTCTGGGGCCCTCCAAGCTCAAGGTGATAGTAAAGCCTGAAAGGTAAATACATGCAAAGAATCAGTACATGGGAAGACCTGAGCAGGTCACCAGACCAGAGCTCCAGAACCATAGAGTTATTTTGTTCTACCACTGACTGCATGATCTTAGTCAGAAATCTCTGCGTGTGCCCGTTTTCCCCCCTCATCTCTCTTGATTATTCAGACTGTGAGCTCCTGTGGGTAAGAATCACCCCCTTGTACTAGGATCTGAATCACAGCTGGGACCCTCTGCTTACTACTGTAATACACACAGTTTCCTAACCTCATCCAAGCAACAGTCTTCCCTCAGCCTCAAGCCATGGCCTACTGCAGAGAGTTCAGTTCAGCAGCACAGGCACACATACAGACCCAAAGCATTCTGTCTCATTTGGAAACTGTCTGGTGTTTCCTGGTCACCCCAGTGCCTCCCCCACCCTAAACCAGGCCTAGACCTGGAGGCAAAAAAGGTCATTTGAATGCAAGTACCCATTGCAAGGAACTTTTAGGAGACCCTGGGCCAGCAAATGCCATACAGACAAGGAAGGGAGCATGGAATAAGCTAGCATATTGTTTTAATTAGACCTACATCTTCTGCCCTATTGCTATAGTAACAGCTTCATTACAGGGTCTGCCCTGTAACGGGAAGAAGGAAGGAGACCATGTGCTGAGTCTATCCCAACAGTTAATGAAGCCAAGAGACCATGGACCAGATCTGCATTTTAAGTTGGGCAGTAAATCCTTCTGGTCAATTGGAGCCTTCTGGAGCCTTACTTACTCCGTGCCAATGGAGTAGAGTCTGCAGAAGTCAAAGGTGGAAGGGGAAATGGAGGGCTCCTCCAGAATAGTGCTGTGGAGGAAAGCAGCCATACCTGGCTGAAAGATGGCTGCCCAGTTTCTTCTTGGCTTTCTTCACAAGATAGCTGCAGATTTCAGTCATCTGCTCCCTCATCCATCTAATATCCTCAGGGATATCTGGGAGCCATTCCAGCAACCTGGGAAGAGACAGGAGACGACCATTAGTTGGGCCACACAAAGGATAGGATGGAAATAATGCCAGTTTTGCCTCCTATCAATGGTTACTCATTATTTTTAGTGACAAATGCAGTAAGAGCGATTTATACTACCATTCATAGAATTAAGGGGGAGAAGCTGTAAAGGATGAGAACAGCCCAGGAACTTATTCTTTACATTTTGTGTCTGCACTTTCCATATTTTTCATCCATTTTCAGATTTGAAAAGTAGTTTTCCCCAAGCTTTTCTATCACAAACTATCTCCTTCCAGAAACTTTTCATAGGGTACTTTGTACTAAGAACAAGTCTGACAGACCTGTTTTCTCAGCCGTGTAAGTGTAGAGCTGGAAATGGCTGGGACTACTCTATCCCTTGCTCCAGAGGGGAACCACCTCTTGTGTGGTTCCTACTTTCATCCCTGCACTCCCAGTTCAGAAGTCTCTCTCCAGGCTCCAAAATTTATCACCATTTTCTAGGGCAAGTTCCAGCACACAGTCATCTTCCTTCAAGCTGGAATTATTGGCTGTAATGACACATGAAGGTAGGAAATTTTTTTTTTCGTATGTCTGGTAAGTGGCAGGAACTTCTTCCTCTTAGAGAGGATTCTACTCTGTCCATTCATGCTCCACCAGCTACATCAAACACTTGGTTGCACTGGGAAGAAAACCACTGAGGGAACCAGTCAAAGGCCTACCTGACAGTGAAGGAAACCGCAGACTCCAGAGGCAGCATATAGGGGACCATCATTGCTGTGGCCACACGTATAGGCAGCATGTTGGTGATACCAGTCAAGAAACTTCTTCTTTCAGCACAAGCCTCCAGAAGAGCTGAAGACAGAAGAGAACATGGCTGAATCCCCCCAGTGGGACTATTCCTTTCCTTGCCATACCCCAGAAGTTACCCAGCCTGACATCTATGCTGTCCACCTTCCACTTCTTAAGGAAGCCTTGCTCAGGGTAGTAATTCTCCAAGCACAGCTGAGACCAGCAGCTTTTAGCTTTACCAGACTCCCAAAGTGAGTCTGATACATCCCCTCCTCTCCTTACTATGCAGAACACTGTCAGATGAGTCACCCTCTCCCAATTCAGCCTCCACAGGGTACGCCACAACTTTATCTAAGATTCCCCAACTCCATCTAACCATCAGCGGGTGCCAGTTGAATCCCCAGGTATGGCCAAGCCCAGCCACAAGCAATACCCACATCCCAATAATCCTCTGAAGTGGACCAGGCAGCACAGGAAGATTGCCTGGGCTCTATCCCTTTGGATCATACCTTGGTTCAGTCTGGGAGGCAAGTGTTCGAAGATGTGCTCTTCAACAACAGCAAGGGCAGTATTATCCTCTAGTTGGTCCTCAGCTTCTGTTTCTTCCTCTTTTTTCTCTTCTGGGGGGGCTTCTATGGCAAGGAGGGGACGGGCAGGACTTGGACGATGAAGGAGACCTGAGAAGAGAAGTCATAGTGTAAGGATGATATAAACTAGCTGCCCTGCCTTGCCTGGCCTTTACAGCGTTAGCCCTCACTTGACCCTAACCCCCCTCAGACAGTCATACATCATACCGAGTCCCTTTAGCTTACATCCATTGTAACACTTACCACAATGAGTTAGAAACCTTGCTGCTTTAAGATCATCCTCTCTTTCCCCACCAGAAATTCTAACTTTTCCCCTTTAAGTATTGCAGGGTGCTGTTTGGCAGTGTTTTGTTGCTGTAATCTGCCAGTCACCAATCTTGCAGGTAAGATTTCCCTCCTGCAGCTTAATCCACAAACACAGCTGCATGACTGCTCATATCCCAGTAAGGTACGCATCACAGAGCAAACAAGTGTGCTTTATCCGTTATAAATTGACACTAGGTGGCATCAAACACACACTCAACCTGCTACAACAGTTGGAGGCAAGAAAGTCCAGTGGTTGCACGTAGAAGAGAGTGAAACAGTAGCGTCAAACTGCCAGGCGCTGGGTGCTGCTGAGGGCATGCCTGCACTCTGCACTGCTGTGCCACATTAGATATACCCTAGCTGCACATAAAAAGGAGCAGGGTATCTGCAGGAGGTCCAAATGGCACTGGTGCCTAACAACTGTGTTGGTGTAGCACTGAGCACACACTAAGTAGCTTCCACACTCAGCTGTGCCAAAGCCACTGCTCTGGTATCAGGGTGGTTAGAGTCCTTCTGCATTGCACTGGAAAGGTGTCCACTCCACCTCTGCTGCCTGAAGCGCTAAAATAGACTTATTAATGGAAATTCCATATTCCAATACCTGAGGCACAGCTCAATTCTGCCCTTCCACCTTTCATATGCACCATTGGCTATCCTCAAAGCCAAGCCACCAAGCCTGGCACAGAAGAGGCAAGTCAGTGCACCCTACAAACACCTGTTGCCTTACCATTCTTCTTCAGGAAGTGCAGTGCATCCCGATAGCCCTGCTTGCACATATCCCGCAGTACCTGTGGGCAGGGAAAGGCAAGAGCAAGTCATTTGGAGATTGTCTGGCTGAGCCTAGCAAACACCCAGCTCAATGCTGGCTTTAGAGGAATTCTCATGACTCCTGAGCTACCCCAAGGACAAGTCTTACCCTTGCCAGCTCTTCCCAGGTTTTGAGCAGGAATGGGAGGTATAACATGAATACATTGGATATGGGAATCACAGGGTAAGTCAGATTGGAAGGGACATCTGGAATCCTACCTAAGTACAGGCTTAGAGTTGCAGCCACCTCACTTCCCCACCTAGAGCTGATGCTGCTGTGGACAGCCTTCAGCAAGTCACTCTGACAAGCAGCCCAGAATACTTCCCAGCAGATGCCAGGAAGGGCCACTGCATTTGCAGATAAAGCCAGCTAAGACTAGAGAGGGGGCAGGGAAAAACTTGTCCAAGTAATTCAGCACATGAATGCATGCTTATTATGCCCAAATGCCAGGGCTATCTGAGGCTGTGTTTGCTCAGAAGCATGCAGAGTTGTTTGCTCTGCTGGCGCTTTTTAGGAGACAGTCACTGGCTTCAGGCTGGCAGCTCCCTCCTGACCTTAAAAAACTCAAGAGCACATCTGTTCCAATGGCTGATACTGATACATACTTGTTTACAAGTGAGCCTGATTTCCTGGCAAACACCACTCTAGAGAGAGCCACGTGGGAATACTTTCCAAGCAACTGCTACCACCTACATTCCAGATCTCCCAGTAGCAAAAGAAAATCAAGCAACCTATACAACCTTGTGCAGATGGTCAAGGTTTGCCAAGTCACTGGGTTGATAATGTCAAGGTTAAAAGACAGACAAACAAGAGATACAAAACTGACAGTGTCTGGAATCTTCTTCTGCTAAAGTGCACAGCATAGCCAGTGCCTATCTACTGTCCCCAAGTTCTGGTGCTGCCAGGAAACTCACCTGTGGCTCCGGAGGAAACAGGGCCTTTGAGAGGCGGTAGAGGTTGCGAAGGTTGAACTGGATGCTAGTGTTGGTGACTCTCAGCTCATGCATGTTTGTGGAACTGTCCCGTGGACAGATATCACTCTCTCCCGAGAATGGAGACACTGTGATTGTGTTCTTCAGCTCATATTGTGGCAAGTTGTCAGATATCCCTCCATCAACATATCTCTGAAATCAAGACAAAAGAAGCACTCTTTGTTCTCGTAACTGATCAAGCGGCTTTTTTACTCTGTGTCCCTGTTCATATTTGTGCCAACAACTTGAGAACAGAATGGAGTACATCCACCAGCACTGGAGGAATCAAAACCAGCGACAGCACAGCTGTGTTGTCTATAATAGCCTTTTGCTACATGCATTTCTTCCTATGGTCAAGTGTGTAGGTCACAAGTGTTCAATGAGAAAGGCATATTCACTTGTGTGACTGCTGACTTACATCTCCTATGGGGTTTGACTGCTGTCCAATTAAATAATATGACACATGAACAACCACCTGCAGTGCAAATTAGCACCGATCTAAGCTGTCACACTGTGACATTGTGTCATTTTTCACTTGTGTTTAAAAGAAGTAAGCTCAGACACAGGTCCTCAGTGGTGGACTAAGAGTAAACTAAGAGTTAAACTAAGAGTAAAACCAGCTGATTTGTTGCTAGCAGGCTTATCGAGCAGCAATCCCAACACATGCATACACCTTTGGAATTTACTTGCTGTGGTGTGATAACAGTGTACAAGGGACTTGAGTTTTGCTCCTAACAGGCATTCTTATCAGAGAGTGTTCTGTACATATGTACCATAAATACACTTGCGTTACCCTTGCAGGAAGGACAACCCCAGTAGCATGTACTCAATTCTTTGAAGTACCATAATTGCACAAGGAACTGAGCAAGACAATCCCGATCACAGGCCTTTGGCAGAGCAAACAACATGCAGAAGATAAAAGGAAAGGGACATCGGTCGAGCCAAAAGAGCAGGAAGTTTGAGACCTTTACAGAGTAACAACTCAAGCTCTCGTGAACCTCAGTTACAGAAGAGTCCTGCTGATTTTGTATCAGGGTTGATCCTACCATTTGCTGCCTGGAACCCTTCCCTTTGGATGGGTTCAACTGCAAATCATCATCAGGAGCTACACAGCCCCATAAGCAGCAGCTGTAACATCTTTCAGCTCTGCTCTCTTTCCAGGCATGGAAATGCTGATCAGAAGAGGAGGTACTCCATCCTGTGTCATGCTTTGCCTCGTCTCACAGGCAGACTGACCACTGACATTGGTCTTTTGCTGCACAATGCCTAGGAAAATGCCGGCTGCTTTGCACTTCATTCTCTCTTGCTGTGGATGGCAGACAGGCAGACACCTCTTCAAGCAGCTCCTCTGAGCCTGGGGAACAGTTCATAGGCTCTTGGGCTGAAAGCAATCAAATTCAGCTACAGGAATCCAGTTCCCATCAAGGCAACAGGGTCAGGGTGGACTGCACAGCAGGTTTCATGGGGGCAAACCAAACCTCAGGGCTGCCTCTGCTTACAGCCTACAGGTTCAAGGGAGATGGCTTGTGATTACAGTTGTAGGCTACAGCAGCACTAACTCATAGCTCACGGCATTTCATCCTCATGTCAAATATTGTTCACCAAACACAGTATCAAGACAGACATGGTTAGTAACTCCTGCACCACCTGGGTTTGGGCAGTGAAGAAAGTGGAAGGATGGGATAGATTAAACTCAAGGAAAAGTACACCCTGTTGGAAACAGGGACACTCAGCTTGCTTACCGGATGCTTTCTAGACAACAGAGGTACCAAAAATCAATTGAACCCTCACCCCCTTTTAAAGCGGGCATCAGTTTTCCCTAAGCCAAAAGCAACCATAGCAAACTGTTATTGTCGTCATCTCCCCAAAGCTGCTCCACTAAAAGCCAAGGCGAGGCACAGCTAGAGCTGGAGATGCCCGGTTGACTCCCTCTGCAAGGATGAGATCATGACAGGCTGAGTGGGAAGAGGACAGAGCAAAGCAGGCAACACAGTGCCCAGACACCCACTTTGTTTAAAAAAGATGGACTTTGTTTAAAAAAGATGGAGTTGTGTTTTGGCCACTTAGCTAAGACAACACTAGTTTCGTGGTGAGGATGCAGAAACATATGTTTCCCTGAGGGTGGCAGCATGAGTGAACGGATGCCATTAGAAAGAAGGCTTAACTACAGTAAGGCTGACAGGCAAAGCCTTCTCACTGCATGGAAATCTAGGAATACACATGCAGACCCCACTCTCTGGTCCACCATTCCCCAAGCAATGCCAATTACCATTCCTTACTTAAGATCAGCCACCACTTCTTTAGATTTGCCCGAACCTCCAGCAACCCAAGACTAACAACTCTCCAACCTCCTGCAAAGCCCCCAACAGTACAGAGCCATGGGCTGGAGCCCCCAGCTGCCTGCAGGTGTGAGCAGCAGCAGCTTTTGGGGATGGTTCATGGACTGGGGTCAACTCTGGAGTGGCCAGTTCCCTTCCCTTATCATGTCCTCCCCCTCACAGGGCCCCTCACTCACATAGTGAGTCATCTCTGACAATATATTGATATCTGAATCACTGACAACTAGCTTTGTGACCCTTGTTAGGGATTCATCTCACCCATGTGCCACAGACAGTTGACAGCTAGCGCATGTGTTAACAGGTCAGTTACTGACCTTCCATTTCTCAGTATTTGAGAATTTTTTTTTTTTTCTCCCTCCACCCATCTTCATCATCCACTCCATGGGGCTACCAGAGCTCAGAGAAGTGAACACTGGAAAAAGATTAGGAGGAAGGCAGAATATGGATTTTACACCTTGCACACAATCATATTGCCTTGAAAACTGGTCCTCATGCCAGGCCTGTCAGTCTGTCCTGTGGCAAATACAGTTATCGCAGGCATGCTAGGAATCATGCAGTCCCGTTTCAAAGCCGTTTTCCCAGGCCCACACCCAACCTTATTTAACGTCTCGCCTCAGCAGTCCCCCTTCAGAGACACAAAGAGCCACAGTTTTCTGGGGAAGAGGTAGGAATTAATTTCCTCATCTCATATATTCCCTCTCCACCTTTCCCCATGAGGAATATTGACATGAGAAGTCATCCCTCAGTGTGCCAGGGCAGCTGCACATTCCAGAAATCCTGATGTTGTAAGCAGTTTTGGAATTTTGAGATTTTGCCTGATCCACACTGACCTCAACTAGCCCCAAAAAGGTGTCAGGCAAGAGCCACTGTTATGCTCCCACCAGCTGTGGGACAAAAACCCTGCCTGCAGTTGTTGAACAAATACCAAACCATTAGTGATTCTGTCACTTTTCTGAAGGGCTAGACATTGGACATTTCTTCTAGGTCATTTCCCTGCCCAACATGCTTGCACAAGATAAAACCAGCCAAGTTGTATATTATGCAGGAGCAAAACTGACCTCACTTTTAGGACACAGGTAGCAGTGGGAGCAGATTTGATACCATGCTCTGACAGACTGAGGCATCTTGGTCAGGTCACTTATGGGAAAGCAGGGCGCACACACATTAATAGCAGCTCTCCCTCTCCCTTTTGACTATTTAGTTTGCAAACAAACTGCCTTTTAATATGCGCATTAACCTATGTAGCACAAGGGGAGTCCAAGCTCAACTGAGGCCCTTAAGCATGACTGCAATATTCAGAGACACTCCAGCTCTGTGCAGCTTTCAAATGTTTTCGTTTCTAATGCACAAACACAGAAGGGAGAAATTGCTCTGGACAGCCTTGGACAGGATGTTAAAGAAAGCTCTACCAGGCAGAAGAACATTATTCTCAGAGGAAGGACAGGAAGAACTCCATAGAAAAGAGATCTGGTATCGGCACCACTAGTTAAAACCCCACAGAAAGTGTCAGGCACGTGGGAGAGGGACTACACTCATGATTTCTATCCTGGACCCAAGTTCTTTCCACATGCAGAGGGTTGGAGCCTCAGTGATGGACAGCATTGTACCAAGCAGCCAGGAGAACTATATGATAAGTCAGCCAGCACTTGCCCAGATTGCTATATGTTACTATCATGTTAAATCCTCTAGTCTTTGGGACATTTATAGCCAACTGCAGGCAGCAGTGGAAAGAAGGCACATCCACTGTTAGAAGTTGTTTATTTGAGAATTTCTCGTGCCCTTTCAGGATATTTGCTGCCAGCAGACAGGCAATAAGACTGCCAAAACGGAGTACCAACATTTCTGCCTTCTTATTCATTAGTATATGATTTAATGAAGGAGCATCTTAGAGTCTTACTTACCACTCCACGCAAGGTTGGAGGTATCAGCCCACAGTAGACAGGGATAAAGGTGCTGCAGACACAGGCCTGAGGAAGAAAGAGATCCAGAATGTAAAAAGCAGATCAAAGCCCACTGAAACTATTACTCTTCTCAGAACACCACACTGGCATGTGCTGACAATTATACACCATTACTAAGGACATTTGGAGACCAAGGCAAAACAAAACTGCATGCAGTTCCTGCCTAGTCCTCTGCAATAAGTTTCCATTCACCTGGATCAGCTCCTCCTTGGAATTGAAGTCTGACAGTATCACATTTTCTCCATCAGAGACCCGCGTCAGGGAAATACCCAAACGTCCCGCTGCAACCTCATGCCCATTGTCTGGCACGGTCTTGGACAGGCAGGTCCGAATGATCTTCACCAAGTTGAAAGATGGGTGGAGTGGGCCCAAGAACCTCTTCCGGGCTTCTTTTGACACTCGAATAATGCTGCCACCAGCCTCACCTGCAACAAGAGAAAGAAAAATGCATCATGAAATGCTAGCAAAACCAGCCTTCTCCTTTACAAAATAAGGCACAGAAAAGCCTAATTCACAGCTTTACTCAGAAGTTTTTCCCCACTGGCTGATATATAACTCAAGACAAGAAGCTATTATGGGCAGTGTTACAGAAGTCATGAAAGTTTGCTGTCTTGGCCCTCATTGCAAAGAGCTACCCTCATCTTACATACGTTTTATAAAGTCAAGGAAGATGACATGCATCTGGCTAAGGCCTCACACTTTTTCAGTAGATCATGTTTCACTGGCCAATGCAGGGCTGGTGAAAACACAGACTAACAAAGAAAACAAGGAAGATGCTTTAACAGCTTTGAGCTTATGGCTGAATCCATTTCAAAACATCTTCCACTAAAACTTTTCTAGTAAGCATCTTTTTTTCCTGACATGAAAAAAAGTCATCCGCCTGTAAGCAAAATTGCCAGTAAACAGGAATGTCAGTGCTTTCCAGCTAAGCAATCCCAGCTCTGCTGTGAATATCAGCCACATCGCAGGTGAGCAAGACGAACACTGTGCTCTATTAGGGATCAGTGACTTAGTGCCACCTAGTGACACCTGAGGTGTCTTTGGTGTCCCGTCCCTTCTGTGTCTGATTCCACAGCACTAAACTAGGCCCTGATGGCAAGCAGGACTCACGAAGGCTGCTTTTCCCTTTCACACAGTGACCCAGCTGGGTTTGGAGGAGAGGAGACATCCCCATCTGCACAAAAGGGAAGGCATCTGCTAAGCCCATTATCTCACAGTCACTAGGAGCCCTATCTGGCAAGAGCATCAGGGCTCTGCAGTGGGAAAGGAGGGATGGGAGAAAACAAAACAAAAACATCAACCCAAGCCAAACCCTCAGCACCCAGCATGCTGCCCTTTGTACACACTAACTGCTGCTTTCACAAGCATCTCCTAGCCATGGTGACATACAAGACAACAGTTCCTCTGAGTATCAGGCAATCACTGCACTCCCAGGGGCATCAGGAATATACATGTGGGAAGAATTAAAGAAACCAGGAGAAAAGAGACATGCTTTCACAAATCAAGACTTCTCTCCAATCAAACTGAAGTTCAGTTCCTGGAGAAAGATGAAAGCCAACTAGAAATCCCTCCATTTTGCTCTGCCACCCAGTCTTGCAATTGCAGAAAGGAGGCAGCAGAATGAAAGAACCCAAGATAGACCCAGGTTAATAAATACAGTGGAGATAAGAGCAACAACACCCTCAATGCTATATTGACACATACCACTCTTTTGCAATACACATGTGCCAGCAACATGTTTTCCATCAACACAGCCTGGGAACACGATTCTGTGCTTAGGAAACCCATCAACACCAGTAGCTCAAGCATGCACAGAACTGGACCCTTGAACATGACCAGAGACTCTGGGGTCAGGATTTTAGGCACTGTAAGGTAGCAAGTTAGCAGAAAATCCAAGTTCCCCCCTCTGAAGCAATTTTTAGCACTATAACTCCAGTCTTTTGCTCTGTCCTAGAGCAATATTTAGCAGTCTAATTCTGATCTTACTTACTCAATTAGCAGTAAGCCATTGAGCCCAGCCTGTTCCAGATAGTAGCCACATAGTCAACATCCTTCCCAACAAGAAGGAAATCAGCCTCACAGAAATTACATTTTATCAGCACCATGACATTAGCACTCATAACACTCCCTAAGACGCCTTCACATCTGACAAGGGGAGGAAAGACACACAGAGGATCTGCAACAGAGCCAAAAACCGAGTGAATCCCAGCCGAGCACCTTGGCCACACAACCCCAGGAAACTCCACTGCACTAAGTGCATTGCAGGGAGTTGCTGGCTTAGCTGAAGAACCCAATGGGAGGGTGGGTGTTGAGCATGCAGCTGTGGGGAAACACCCTGCGTGCAAAGACCATGCTGGGGTGGGGGGGTGTCACTCAAGAGATGGTGCTTAGAGAATGATGCTTTCAGACTTGGCATCTCAGTGTGCAGAAAGATTTGATAGCAATACTGAAAGCAACTGCAATTATATTGAGCTTATGACTGTTCGAGCTAAAATATGAGCTGGAAGTTGCTTAAGAAAAACAAAACAGCAAAGTCCCAACTATGCCAGGAAAGACTGAGGGGAGACTTCAGCTGCAGCTGCCTGCTCTGTCACCATTTCACAGCCAAGTGAGGTAGGGGGACAGAGAAGAACAGAGGACAAAATAAAAATTATTGCTAATTAGCAACTTCATTCTTTGAATAGTTTCTGGGTGTTTGGGTTTTTTGGGGTTGTTTATTTGTTTTATACATGTGTGCATACATGCATACACACAGGACCTTCTGAAGTATTTCAATTTAAGGGCAGCTGTGATTCTGTTGGACTTGCTGGCTCACTTGCACCAAAGCTGAGTGCAGAATGGCTCTGTGGGAAAAGACAGGCACAGGGTGATCTGCAGCACCACCAGCTTTCCTGGAAATAAGGCTAGCTGAGAGTTCAGCCAAAGGAGCCAGGTTTACATAGCTAGATCCATGACAGATGACAAGCCCTCTTGGAAATACATTTGGGAGGCAAAGAGGTGAGAGCGTTTTAATCCTGTTACTACCAGAAGTGCTATTCCAGGAAAATCAGCTCAAATTCTGCTCACAGCCTGCCAGAGGGAGCAGCTGAATGAGAGGTGGTCAAGAGAGGAGAATCCTACAGAGGTCAGTCACAAGCTGTCAATTATTACTAGGACTAGTCCAGTGCCAATTCCAGTCCACAGAAAAGTTTCCCATGTTTTTTGATGGATCTGGTGATTCAGGACACAGGGTCATGTGAAAAAGCTAAATTAATTTCCTCTTCCCTTACTGAGGTACACACTGAGGGGCAGAGACAATCCCTAATAGTTTGTATTGATTGCTGGGAAAACATTTAATTTTTCTCCCACCAACCAATTAATTCAACACTTCTCCCTGTACAGATTTACTAAGCCAATATTCCTCTAAAAATTGTATTAATATGTGGAATATTCCATTTTCATTAGAAAAGCCATATCCCTCTTCTTCCCTGCACCCTCCACTGCCCCAGTGGGGGGTGTTATACATGAGCCTGAGTTCTGCAGGGCCATCGTCCTTATCTGAACTTCAGTTGTGATGACTCAAAGGAGCATCAGAAAGTTGTGTCCTGAAACACCCCAACGTATCTCTTGCAAGACAAGGGGGGCCAGCTGCTCCATCCTGTGATCCTTCTGCAGCAGCTACAAGGGGTAAGTTACTGTTACCTGTGGAAAAAGATGTGCAGGCAGCTGCTAGTTCACATTCCATTTTCAAGCTATATCAAGCCAGCTTCACATTAGCTTATTGACATAGCCAGTTTTTTAAGGGAATGATCTTGCTTTCACCCCCACCAGTCATGCTCAACTCCAAAATAACCCAGTATCTAAGTCTCTACTGCCTTGCATTCTTGGGCATGGCTGCTCGCCACCATATATAAATATATTTTAAAAAGCCTAGAACAAGATACAAGTCACCCATTTCCAAGAGAAGCAAGAAGAGAGAAGATAGAGAGCTACTGCAAGGAGAGCTCAAAAGAACTAAGGCCCGTAACAAGCTTCATCACCTTTTACTCAGAGGGCCCATTCCCCTAAACTACCCTTCTGTAATCTGAAAAGCATTCAAGCAGCATATGCTATTTATAACTGTATACAAACACCTCCAGCCACAGCAGCCTGCTACTCCTGTCTCTGGAAAAGGAGAAAAGCTGAAGATCAATCACCTAAAACTGATGTTAGCCGGGCAGCTGGGAAGACCCTTAACTGCAGCTAAGAGCTCTGAGATGAAACAGAAAGGCTACTTCAAGCCTGTGCCATGCATAAGGATGAGGACCATCACAAAGGTTAAACACCCCAAGGCAGGAGGGGTGGCAAGTGGGTAAGAAGGGCCTCTTCAGACCTGCATCTTCAGCAGCAGGTCTTTTGCACCAAGGGCACCATGATGCTCACCTGTTGACATTAGACCAGACTGATATCCATTTGCCAGTCAGCAAAAGGACAGCTGACTGATAAGGTATTTCAAATGGAAAAAAAAACCCAAGACACAAACAAAAATAGGAGCAGAGCAGGCTGAAGAGGGAGAAGGGCATTCTGGACATTCCACCCAGCAGCTCCTACGACTGCAGTTCACCCATGACACTGCAGCTCCCTCTGGAAGAACTCCATGTCAGCACAAAGATCACCCTCTGCGCCAGGGAAATTCCTACTCCCTAGCTAGTGCAGCAGTAAGCAGGATGCAAGCTTAAAGGAAAGGCTCTCCAACAAGGATGGAGAACAGAGGATGGCAGACAGCAGATGGATGTAGGGACAGCATCTCCTGTCCCTGCTGGTAGGAGGCACGCACAAAGAGATCACACCCCAGACTGCAGATGCCGTACCTTGCCTGGACTAATGGAGCAGGCAGGGAACTGTGCAGATCCCTGCTAAACCTGCTTCTCATTCAGAACCAGTAAGAATTCAAATGGACCCCTTCCTACACATGCGAGGCACCACTCCTCTCTCCTCAGTCCCATTACCCGAAATGAAGCCAGGTAGCAGAAGGAAGCGCAGGTGCTTTTGACATTCCTCCAGCACCTGGAGGGCTCAATGCCTTGTTAGTTTAGGATGGCATGACCTAGCTATTTTGACTGCAACATTTTCAGGACAGGAGCCAGCTCCTGTGTACCATTAACTAGGGACCTCATTCTGGAGCTGCTTAAGTTCTGCTTAGCTATGTGTTGGAGTGATGTTTGTGTGATGTTCAGCACAGATGATCCCTGCAAGAGTCCCCAGCTACGATATTCACACTTCGCTTTCAACTCAGATAGTTGCCAAGCGTCACTGGAGTTCTCATGTTTCCCATTGGTAGATCCCAGTCCAGACTTGAATTTAGGAATAGGATGAGTCAGAAGGAATTTACTAGCATGATCTCCCTCAAGGTTAATTTAGCTTGATTGCCTGTCCCTTGCTATTTCAGCTGTTCCTGTACCTCATCCATAGAAGATCTAAAAGCCAGTCTCTAATGATGACCATGGGTTTCGGGAGAGCTGTCCTGTCTTCTTCCTGGGCACAAATCCCCAAGCTGCTCCAGCTCAGCACACACAGCTCCTGCACCTGCCCCTTCTCTGAATACTGAGAGTAAGCAATGCGCATGCTTTTGCTGCCTGGCCTCTCCCAGGTGATGATACAGTCCTAATTATAACACAGTCCTGTCACCAGCCCAAAAACATGAAGTTATAAACAAGAGGCACTGAAAAAAAAGTTTGCAAGCTGACATCTAGAAAATAATGAACAGAACTTTATTGGATGTTTCCTCACAGGTAGCTCAGACTGCCAGAAAGTGCCCATTCGTTCACCCCAAGGAGCAGTGCATAGCAACACGCTGGTAATCCAAGGACAACCCCAATTCTTGTGGGCAGGGACCTCAGTTTGTGAAAGATCCCACTGCTTGGCTGGACTTCTGTTCCTCTTCCCACACTCACGCTGAAGCAACCTGGTTTCCACTCATTGTCCTAAGAGAGCAAGAACCAGACAGACCTTCAGCTGAGCTAAGCTGAACAAAGGCCAACTTGTGCTGAATGGGAACCTGACCCATGATGTTCTCTGACTGCCTATCAGCGAGGCCGGATGGATGTCAAAGGGGGGGGCCCAAAGACAAATTCATGCGCGCGGGAAATAAAGTGAGAGCAATGTCTTATGATCTGCCCTTATAACACATTTTCAAGTGATAGGTGTACCCCACAGCTGGTAACAGCTCTTTAGTTTCAGTGTGAAATCCTAGACAGATCCTAGACAGATGCCTAAAAGCACTGGGTGTGGAAAGGATATATAACTTCTGGCAAGTGAGGGATAGATAACTCCCACTCTTTAACACAAAGAAAAAAATGCCCATTTTAAAATATTTTAGGCTGGGGGATGGCAGCTAGCAGTGGAGCCTCTAAAGGCACCAATTCTTTTCATGTCTGTACACATCTTCCTGTAAGCCAGTAATATTGAGAAACGCCACATACCAAAACAAGCTGTTCTTCTGGGACTTCCCTAATTTTCGTTGTTCTGAGGTATATTTATTTTATTTATATTTATTTTGAGGTTTTCATTCAATCCTTCTCTCCTACTATTTTGCCATCAGATAAGAAAGAGTTCAGCTGACTTGGCTCCAGATAAGAGATACAGGAAGGAAGCCTTTTTTTTTTTTTGGTGATACACAGGTAGCAAACACAACTCCCCCCACAACACACACCCACTCAGTCTGCAGACAGCCCTACTGCTTGACCGGCTTGTTCCCTGTGGCAGGCAACCCTTCCCATCAGGGGCTCTGTGCAGGGATTTAACCCAAGCTCAACAAGCAAATGATTTTGCAAAGGAGATTTCTTAGAAAGCCTGGCCACCTGCTGTAAATAATGGTCTTTCTCCCCCCTTTCTCTTCCCACACTTCAAGAGTGAAGGGCACTGATACATACCCTATCGGAGTAACTCCTAGGGATCCCTATCAGACCATGGTAAGCAACACCTATTCTGACCTTACAGGTGGGGCAGTGGAAACACCAAGAGGAAGAGACAGCTTTTCAAGTAGGGCCAGCTCTCAAGCCACAGGCAGATGCTGCAGGAAGGGCTCAGCCCACAACACTTTCCGGCTCAGATTCTCAGTACTCAGCATTGCAAAGTCTAGACACAAACAGTGCCAAGATGCAGCCTGCGGCAGGAGGGCTAAGTAAATCCAGATCACCTGCAACTGCTTCAGAGCCAGAAGCCTCCCTCTTATTAACATGATTGTCCCCAAGATGTTTACTCTTCTATTTCAAGCAAAATTGGGGAAAAAAGCAAAAAGCTGTTGGTCACTTTATCTATTCAAATAACACCAAACCAAAAGGAGCCATTTTCCCCCTTTGAGCCTTGAGATGGTTACTTTGTGTGCTCTGGATACCATTTAATAGATGAACCAGAACTATTGCCACATCCTGAATGTGGAGAGCATGAGAAGATCTGCTTTTAAGTTGCCTCAGTTTTTTTCCTCTCGCACAGAGCAGCTCACCAGGCAGCCCACAGTGACTGTTGCCTGCCTGTCCACCCACTGGTACCTACAGGGTGGGTCCCTCATGCAAGCCAAAGTGCAGATGCGCAATTCATACCTCATCTCACCTTAAGGCAGGTTGCTCTGGTTTGTACAGAAACAAAAAGGCTTTGGGAGAAAGGGCACAAGAGCTGCCAGGCTTGATTAAGTCTCTAAGCTAAACCTTTGCACTGGACTTAATGTAGTGTTGGCATACCAAAGCCTCACCAGGAGACTGATGTTCTGCAAGCTGAGGCCCACTTTGTTTCTGTGGCAAGGACTAGCGCATTTACTCTTGCAACACAAATCAGAAAACAGCACAGCTGCTACTGCAAAACAACCAATAGGAAGGCCAAGAGGCAGCTCAGTTCAGGCAGGCAGCCAGCAGCATTCTCTGTCACAACCACAACAGCAATCCCCACTAGCCTAATCTTTCTCCACTGTAATTCCCTAATACGAGGCTTAATGCTGCATTTCTGTTCATTGCGTTAGAGAGAAATTAAATGGTATAACAGCACATGAAAAGGAAAAGTTGCTCAGGACCGCAGGCAAGCTGTACTGAAAACCATGCCCTGTCCTCATCTATCCATCAATCCCTGCCAATGCTACAGTGCAACTCAAATTGCATGGGGTGACAAGAAAAGGGGATTCACAGAGTAAGAGAAGGTGCAGCTCAGATCCCTACTGCTTGCTCTGAGCCAGAGTAATGCTGGGTTTTGGGTCACTTTTTTAAAAGCAAGTACTTAGCAAGAAAAAGCTAGCGGAGGGGAGAAACAAACCAAAAAACATGCTGTAATAATGCAAAATTGCCTTCTTCCTCTGCCCTGCATAGAGGCAAAAGTGGAATCTAATTGAACTCTTGCTTTATTCATCCGAGTGAAAACCACTAACACAAAGCCTCCAGTGGTTGTTATTCTGAAAAGAACTAGTGCAGAAGGATCAAGTCTTACTCACACACGCAATGTTACACACACGCCCTCCATACTCATTTCTCAGGGTCGGTTTGCAGGATGGCACCACACACCTAGAGAAAGAGCACACTGTTTCCACTTCACAGTGAAGGTATCGCTAGAGGTAAGATGCTTTGGAAGAAGAGAGACCAGTGCTACAGGACAGTAGATACCTTTGCCAGGCACCTGCACCACAGATTGATGAAGACAAAGTGGAGTGAGCAGTCACCATTTCTGTTTCCAGACCCTGAAGAAACAGCTGCCATGCCAGCATCACTTCAGCTTTATCACACACTAGCCATTACCCTCAGCTGGCTCACCAACACCAAAGCAAGGCCCACACACAGCTTTTGGTGGCTCTCAGTCTAACACCTGCCAAATGCTCTCCTGCATGCTTGCAGACAGCTATTGTTTTGTGTTCACCAGAGATGTTATCAGAGATATGGCTATCTCTGTCATGCAGAAAAGGGCAGCCTGTCTTCCTCCTCCCTTGTCCTTTCTCACTGCACACTCCCATGGGCTGCTAGAGCACTGTCTCGCCCTGGCACGGAATGAAAGGAATAGCTCTGCAGTTCTCCACTGGCCCTCAGCCTGCATCATGCCCAGCTCCCTCAAGCTCGCACAGCTAGCCAACTGCTCCAATCCATGCCAAGCACTTCCCGTGCACCTGCGAGCACATTGCTTGCTGTGTCTGCTTTGCCCTTCCATCTCATAAAGGCATGTTAAGTGTCACCTTACACCCCTGAACTTTTCCCCACTAGTCATGGCATGAGCAGAGCCTGCTACCAGCAAGGAAGCAAGAACGAGCAGCTTTGTTCCAAAGCAGTCCTCAGAAGAGGCACGGGCATTTTGTTCTAGAAGGAATCTCATTTTGATGATGAAGCTTATTTGGGAAGCATCTTCAGTCAGACCACAAGGCAGGCTGCATTCCTTGGGAGCCATGACACAAGAATATCTGGAGACTGACATTACCTTTCTTCCATGGACATCAGCAGCAGTCCCCCAACCACAACTCCCAGGCATCAAGATGATTCAGGTTCTGAAAGCAGCCACATGAGCAGGACAGGAGCTGCTCACAGAGGGTTGCACAGACCCCTGCAAGGGAAGAGCCTCTGCTCGACCCTTCCTGCGAGGCTGAGCAGTGCACAATCAAGGAGAGCAGCAAGACAGATGTAGCAATGTTCACCTGAAGCTCACACACACAGAATGAACTCTTCTGTGTGCAGAAGTATGGCTAGTAGTTAAATGGTTAATTTGTTCCTAAAGAAGTTAGGCATCAAGATGATTCAGGTTCTGAAAGCAGCCACATGAGCAGGACAGGAGCTGCTCACAGAGGGTTGCACAGACCCCTGCAAGGGAAGAGCCTCTGCTCGACCCTTCCTGCGAGGCTGAGCAGTGCACAATCAAGGAGAGCAGCAAGACAGATGTAGCAATGTTCACCTGAAGCTCACACACACAGAATGAACTCTTCTGTGTGCAGAAGTATGGCTAGTAGTTAAATGGTTAATTTGTTCCCATAAAGAAGTTTTACCAATCTCACTACGTAAAAACACTGGGCGAGATAAACCAATGTAACTCCCCCTGTGCTGACAGTCCACTCTGAAACAGGGGGCTCTAACTTTCTCCATGCATGACATAACTATGGCAGCCTGAATCCACACCCTACCTCTGGAATACATTGGAATAACTTTCTTGCCAGGCCCAGCCCTTAATCAGCAGCGTTCAATGAAGCCGGCAAGAGCAGCTCTTGTAATTAACATATGTAAAGGGCTCCCCGATTCATTTAGACCCTCAGCTGCCACCTCCTCTACCTCAGGATGCTAAACTAGATAATCCACAGGAGTGGCTCAGAGCCACTGCCAAAGCCTCCAACGATGAAATGGTACTCAATCCTTTAAATCCTAACGCAAAAGGCTTCCAAAAATCAGTATCCATCCAAACAAACTGCAGTGTATGAAGAGGAAGAGAAAGGTTCATTCTCAGAAGAAATCTTCCAGGCATAGCATAGCCAAAAGCCTAGGAAACAGCTGCAGAAGACACTGCATTAAGCTTGCTGATTCCAGATGACTTGTCAGACTGAAGCCATCAATGTAGATTTGGACTTTACCTGTACCAGAAGGCACCACAGTTTCAGGTCTGGGCAAGTACCAAAGGGCGGCACAAAGCCCTGGGTTCTACTAAAACTACCAGCTTCCACACCTGACATATGCCAAGCACCAAGAACAAAGTGCACACCACCCGCCCAGACTCGTCACCGCTGGGATCGCATGGAGCTTGGCTTGTTCTGAGCCTTTCAGATGGGGAGAGTTCCTTTCTCCAGGAACACTGAGGGCAGCTCTCCCAGACACACTGTACCGCAGACCAGCGCAACCCCAGGGACAGGATCAGACCTGTCACAAGCAGCTATTGTATCACAAATGCCCAACTCTCTCCTCCCTTCTTCCCACCTTTGTAGCTACAACAGGCAGAGCTACAACAATCTCCAGCACCTTTTCTACACTCCCAGGCCCACCAATTCCCTGCCTTCTATGTGCTCCTTGGAAGGGATTTTTTACTGTGCCAGACCCTATCAATTCCAGGACACATTCTGCCTTTTCCAAGGACACAGGCTTATTTAGGGCCTTCTACATGGAGTCATTTCCTCTACCCCTCCTTTTCACCAGCTCTTGCTCTCTCTGGTGCCTTATACCTCCTTGACAAGGAAGACAGCCCAAGGCAAATACACATACATGGGCTCCCTCAACTCCCAGATTCTTGAAGGCACATCCTGACTTTCACCTCAAGTCCCAGGAACACTTAGCAGAAAGAAAGAGGCCAAGTATTAGAGCTGGGCAACGGAAGTGCAAAAGTGCAGAGGATTCAATGGGAAAGGGGTGGCCAGTTTGGAATCCAGCTAACAGCAGGGTTTGCCTCATGGAGAGCAAGGTGGACAGGAGTCACCTGCTCACACTGCTCCTTTGAGTAGGAGATCTCTGAGCTTTTGCAAAGGCCCTGGAATTAGGAAGCTTGTCCATTCCCAGCTCCGAATAAGTAATGCTGACCAAATCACCATTTCTCCAGCCCTTACATGGTCCTCTTCAAGTACAGTACAAAGCAAGCACAACAGGGTTGAAAATCCTCTCCAGCCAGGCTGGTGAACATTTCAACCCTGCTTCATGGAGGGCACAGAGGGAAACATGGAGAAGCCCAGAGAGAGCAGGGGGCTAGCTCAGAGTATAGTCACTCCCAAGCCCACCGTGCTGGAAGGCAGCACAGTCCTCTGACAGGCAGGAAACAAACACCATCAGCTACTGGACATGCAGGCAGAGCTGCTGTAACCACTACAGCAGGAAGAGTTTGGAACTGGAAGACAGAGAAAGGAATCTGAGGCAGGTTTTTGATTTATCAGGACTAAACTTAACTTTCAAACATAATCAATAACCAGACATAGGACCCTGAAGAACACATGACAGCTTCTCATATTTTATAGGAAGGACTTGCAGGTCCTTTGAAGAGTTTTGGGAGATAAGAGGCAGAAAGAAGTGGAACAGCCTGGACATGCTACAAGTTCAAGAGAGATGCTGAAATCATGGGTCAGAAGAATGACCACTTGTGCTGTTGCCACTGACACTGCACAGCTGCAGCTGACAGAGCAAGGCTTGGCACCAAGCTGCTCTGCACACCTATGGTCTACGTGGGGCAACAAAAGAATAAACACATGCATTGCTATGACTGTTTTTCGCTAAAAGTGGCTGCTTGGCTTCCCTAGCACTCATCCAATGAGATGCCTGCAAGAGCACCTTTCCTCATGGGAACTTCCTTATTAGAACCAGGCAGACAGCAGGAACAAGTTTCTTCCCTCCCAGCAAAAGGTATTGCAGGGTGCTCCGGCTGCTTGGCTGCCAGCATACTCGGCTGGACACCCGAGTCTGCAGCCCTGTGACTGCTGATGGCACTGATCCAGCCACAGCAGCTTCTCCACCAAGCCAGTGAACATTTCCAACTATGTCAGCACAGAACATCCCCCCACCTCCCCCTGTTTTCCACCAGAGAAAGAAGCAACAGCTTTACTGCTTCCAGGGAGCACCAGGAGATCGCCCATGAATTACATCCACGTCTCCATATATGTATATAGGGGCACCTCTCCTTCCTTTGACTGGGCTGGGGCTGCTGAGTTCAACTCAGCAGTTTTCCCCAGCTAGGGCCTTTGCAGGAGATACAAATTACAATCTCCTGTGCAGGGAGGGACCCGAGTTTTGAGAGGCCACAGATGCTATGAAGCTTTCCTTCGCGTACCTGAGGAGATCTATAGATCTCTTCACACAGCCACACAAGACAGCATCACATATACTTCCCCTAGGATAAGCTTCACACTTTGGCCAGCATCAACTGGCATTGCTCTGAGGACTCCATAGAAACTAAGGTGATTTATTTCCTTCTCTCAGTCTGGGATTTGGTGTTAGATTCCACACAGAGAAAATAACCTCCCTGACCAGTCCTTAAGCCTTTGCATGCACATAATCAAATTTCAGGAGCACATTATTTACGATGCTGCTATCATTCATTACCTCAATTTCAAAAGTTAAAAGAGGGTTTACTTGTTTGGGTTTTTTTTCCTCCTGCTACCCAATGGAAAAAGTCTCTGCAGTTCAGCAGCATATTTCCTGGTGGTCACATGGTGACAGCTGACAAGCAAACCTGAATGTCTAATAACTGTTACTTCATCTCGAGCCTGAGACAGAGTCCTGGCTAAGATATTAGTTTAAAAAAAAAAATCCTGTAAACAACCCAGGAATTTCTCTGAGCAGTGTTCTTCAATTTAGCAGATATATGGCCTCCTTTCTGTATTCTTAGTACTAGAAGAATCCCCTCAGATTGCTTTATCATCTTCTGCTGACATTGTCATGCTTTAGGAGAACAGCAAACTCCCACAGATGGGGGTCTGATAGCCAGCTTTGCCTCTGACAGCAGAACCCACCTCTTCCCCCCAAAAAAGAAGCAATTCAGCAGTTCCAACCCACCCTCAGATGAGAGCTGTATAGGACAATATTCACATGCTACACAGACAATTGAGATGCTGTTGGTTAACTATGAGTCACAGGCACAGTCTGGGACCTCAGCATCAGCTCAAAAACAGCTTTTCAGCGATTACAGGTTCACATCCCATCATTCATCCAGGCTGCTACGTTTCCAAAGCGGGCACACCAAATCCCATACAGCTCACCAGAGTGAGATGATTCAAGACCCTTAACAAAAATATATCCCCTATTCTTAAATCTTAAAGATTTAAGAATCCAACAGTGGCTGCATTTTAGCATTACTCGTGACTGAAAAAAGGACAGTCTTGTCATGTCACATAAGCCAGTTTTACTCATCCAGGCCCAGTGACTTAAGGATTTATTCAGACAAGTAAGCATCCTCAGAGCTCCAGGCCTAGAGTGTGTGAAAAGCTGCAGGATTTGAGGTACGCATAAGGAGGAGACTGCAAAGCCAGCACAAAAGGACTTCTCAGTTGCTTGGCGTATAAAGGTGCATTTCCTGGTGTGCTGGACTCCAACAGCCCCAAGAGAAGACACAGGCATGACAGAAGGCAATTTCCCAGAAAACCCTCAGGATAAGAAGTGATTCATGCTACAACACTGCAGTATGCACAATCAAGCAACTTGTAAACACGCGAGACTTTGCTGGATGCACCTTGATAGCCACACAGATTATTCTAGTGGGAAAACAGCAATGCTTTTTCATGCCAGTGAACAGAAGAACCTCAAAGCTAGAGAGAGCACTTCAGTTGTGGGACAATACCACTGTTGTAGTCCTGGAGAATAAATCCAAGATCCCTACAACTTAATGGTAAAGTGCTTAAGAAGAGCTAGGTGAGGTCATATCAGACTATAAGTACCTCTTATTTAGAAATAAGGTCCTCTGCCTAGCTTACATGGATGCCCAATGTTGTTTTATCTGGTATTCTCAAATGCGCCTTTGAAGTCCACAGTGAGCTCTCAAGGCTGCAGATCATTCAGTCAGGGCTTTCAGTTCAGTGTTAGCCCATAGTGAAGCCTTACTGCCATATACAAATGACAACAGTGTGGTCTTAATTCAGGGAGAAGGCAGAATCAGCTCAGAGGCAAGCTGAACAGATGCAAAGGACGGAAGGAAAAAGCAGGAAAAGAAACCACTAAGCGGGATCTTACACTCTGAAGTCAAGGAAAGTTTCTGTTCTCTCTGATCAGGGTCTCAATGGATTGGAACCAAAGAAAAGCCCCAAAGGAAGAGGTTTTTTCACTCTTCCCCAGGAAGTATTTATCTTTGCGCAGTAGAGTCTCATTGAGTTCAGAGCCAAGTACAGATGCATGAAGGCACTAACCTTAGCTACACACAGCCAAATAAGCAAGGCTTCTGCAAAATTCCCCTCTGCTTGTCATCCATCAAGAGACACTATATAGCATTCCAATTTGATGGACAGGGCAACAGACAGTTCAGGGCAGCAGTTGCCATAAGCTTCAAAGCCCATGGGCTATTACACCTACTCTCAGACAGAAAACAGCTGCACAGCACACACAGATACTCGGGATCCTACAACAGCCTGTACTAGGATGAACTGGTCTCCTAGTACAGGCTGCAGCTGTACCTTCTGCCCCATCCCGTTCTTCCCTATGATTTCTTTCTAACCCCTGGACCTCAGCCTGGAATCTGCACTGTCAGGAGGGTTTACAACAGGGACAAAGTGCAGCGATACCATGCTCCAACCAAGCACGTCGTTTGCTTTTACTTTCAGAAGTCAGCTCTGTTGCCTTAGAGCTGCTCTCTACCCAAGATACATGCCAGCCACACAGGCAGAGTCAAAAGAAAACTACCCCAGAGAAGTCAAAGACAGAACTTGAACGCCCAAGAAAGGCGTTGAAAGCCTTGACTGGCTTTAAACAGCATGGTTTGTCCTCTTTCAGGAGGGAGGTGAATGCTGCCTAGAAGGTGGCCCCTAACTCAGTCCTCTTTATCATGCCTCCCCTTGTACCTCACAGGGAGTGGGAAAACCTATTCTAATCCTGATTCACAGAAAGCTCTCTACTAGGCTGCGTAACTCCCTGAGGGCAATGCCTAGCACACCGTGGATGCTCTGGGCATATAAATAGCAAGAACAAGGTAGGCATGATAACAGACTTGCTCAGCACCATAATGGCATCTGAGCAAGGCAAAGGATTTGGGCGCTACCGCCAGCCTGCCTCATGTTCGTGCCACACCTCTGAGTAGCACAGGGACCACCCAGTTAGGGAAGTAATGAGGCAGCCACCTCTTCAACAGAAGGAACAGCAAGTAAAGCAACCAAATCCCTGGCAGCTTTCAGCAAATGGATCCCTGCAGGAAAAGGGATTAGAGGAGGCCTTTTCCCTTGTCCACGATAAAAGCTGGCACCATGGCATGACTACAGCCTTTGAGATCCCAGACTGGGGTTTGAACAGCTGCTAAGAGCTTCCCATCAAGCTCCAGAAGCAACGGTTACACTTCATTGGGCATTTCTGTAAACAAAACACTAAGGAGGGTGAAACTTCAAACCTAACTACACAGAAAAAGCTAACTTTTGCTGCATGAAGGCTACATCTCAAAACTCTACCTGTCCCCAAAGAACAGGGAGTGCCGTGGAAAGACACCTGTGATCAAGGTGAGAGGAGTTCAAGCAGTAAACAGCTCTGGTTTCACTTGGCTCTAGGAGAGGGTCATAATTCTCTGAGACTAGATATACCTGATTCTCTCACACCACATTCCCCTTTCAAGTTTAAGATACTTTTCTGTATTTGTTATTCTCAAAATAAAACAAAAGCTTCCAAGTACAGACTCTAGCATGTGTTTGTTGACTTTTCCCATATGTTGACCCATATGCAAAACAGCTGAACTTCAAAACAGCAAAAAAACAGGAGGCACTGCACACCATTCTCTTCTGCTGTTTGCCAGACATGCCCTAGGCAGGGACAGACTACATTGTGTGCCTGCTTCAGAGATAACTTTTTAAGGTTTCTTCTGTAACTTGAAAACAGAGATAATATCTAGCTAAACTGGAGATCTAGCTCTTGCAGAGGGCAAGAAAATTCCCCAGTGCCCTACACCCCCAGGAATAACCCTCTTCCAGAAATACATATGCTAAGAAAGAATAAAAAGAGATTTCCTAGTTACTCGGAGATGCTGTTCAACTCTAATCCATACATGCAACACGCAGCTTGATGCCTCCATCTCCAGCTGCTTTGCCTCTCATTCGCAGCCATTAAGAGCTGGTGCCCACACGGCAAGAGGTCAGCTCCTCTCCTCACCAACAGCCCCACCAGACCTATACTCAAGCAAGCCAAACCCAAGAACCAAGCCCTCACAAGTCGACGTTACTATGGCAGGGGTCAAAACCAGGACCCCTGTGCCGACTTCCTACCATCAGGAGCCTTCTTGCATGTGGCACCGGTCTCCTCTGCAAGCACCCGCTCTGCAGAGCACAGCGGCACCCACCCGCCCCCCATCCCACGGGGGCCAGGCGCCCATTTTGGACGCATGCTTCACCAGCTTACGGGGCTGAGGCGCCTCTGACACCCCCTTGGACCTCAGCCTGAGGCACGCAGCCACCCGCGAGGGACCGGGGCAGGGGGAGGCTGTGTGAATACTGAGGTAAAGGCCTTAAAAACAAAGCGTCGCTCGCATTTAGGAAGAACGAGGAGGAAGGCGGAGCACTATTTCCACCACTACCGACCCCCGATGCTGTGGTAATTAAAAAATTAATAACAGCGAAGGGAAGACTCGAAGGAGCGTCTGGCAGCCGCAGCCGACTGGCCTCGCTGTGACCCCTCAGACCGGCCGC